GACTTCTGATCAAAAGGTCCTGGGTTCAAGCCTCGGTTGTTGCACTACTTCGGGTTGAGTATGACTAGCTGATAACGGCCAATCAGCCAGAAATGGCCGTTCCAGTTTCCCTCATTTTTTCCGTCCGTCTTCATCTACAGACGTAAAAATTGGCTACGCATAACATACGCTATGACATACATTCAGATTTATAAGTGCATCGGAAATCAATAAGAAAAAGCACACTAATAAAATGGCTTTTTAAGAATACGGTTTTTGCGAGCGGTCAGAAAGAAGCATGCCATGCTGTGATTGGATAATCTTAATTAGTATTTTAACCCTACTTGCGTTATTCACTTGAATCTGGAGCACACTTAAGCATTTCGGTTGCCATTCTATAGTGGAGAAAATCTCGTATAGTTGCGATGGACCAGTGAGCGGTCATGAAGGTGACCCCGAAAGTAGAGAAAGTATGCAGCACGTAAGGAAATTTATCGGGTTTGTTGAGGTACCAGATGATTCATTCTCCAGGCTCGAAGACGCCAGATACTATAACTGGAGCAGTAGTGGTGAATTAGACGTTAGCTGTATCTATTTTCATAGGGTCTGGTCGATTCGAAAGAAAATTCACCAATCCCATCGGCCAGCAAGCTTCTAATTTGAGATCTTTAGTTCGCCTAGATAGATAACAAGCGCCTAAGAGTTACCAATATAAGCGAATATGCAAGTTATGGGAAGCAGTTCAGAAGAAGAAGAGGCGATCCCTGGAACAAGAGTTTTATTTTCCTGACGTTTTGGATTCTGGCGAGAATCCTTCATCATAGGTAATGGTAGGATAGACTGAGACATGCGCAGATAGGGGTGTAACATGCACAGATTGCACGGCATTTATAGTTCGTAAGAGTGACTGACGTAAGAAATGAGTGACTAAATCCACCGCACCTTCTTCTTATCGTCCAGTCTTAGTACAATTTATGCCAACCGGGATCACCCACAGTAATTAATTAGCACAAAGTTTTTGTCTCATGCTTTTCACACGCTCTTTAGATCCCGTTCAAACCTGATGTTTAGGTACAATCATACACGTATATATAATTCCCACCAGACGGTTTAATTCTTCTCAAGCGATTTGTAGACCAAAATAAGCTGCCAGCATTTTCAGTGAACTTCCTATAGTTAATTCATTTTAATGTATTTTCATTTCAACATCTCACACCCAACGTTCCGGATATTTAAAGTTTACGGACTTCACGTCAGGCAAGCAGACTTTTAAACCAGTGTTTCAGTTAAAAGGACAAAGTTATAATGGAGTTTTTATAGTGACCTCAACCTACCTTTATAATGCCTTCATTGTCTGATAGATTTGTGAAGAAGGTGAAAAGCAGTTTCGCGAGTTCAAAGTTCTCCTCGTTGGACGGCAGTTGAACTCGATGGAAAATGTCTGTTAGCCCTTTGCCTGAAAACAAAAGTGATGTAAAGCAGGATTATGTGATTGAATAGGCGGGCAACCAATCGAAAATTCTAAGTGGTGTAAAAACTGGCGACTGAATGCAGAAAAAGCGGGTGAAGTCAAGGTCACACATTGCACCCGTTGTTGCAAAACTGCAAGTTATCATTGTATTTCTACTGACAGATTGTCAGTAACATTGCCAATAGAGAATAATAAATCAGGAAAATAAAACTTGTTCTGGTGATCGCTTCTTCTTCTGTCAGTAACATGTCTATAGTGATCTCGATAACCCATACCATATCTCAGTCACAATACGCGGTTTGACCTACCGAACCTTAAAATGGCCTTGCACCCGATAAATTTTCAAGGATGCCTTTGATGATTACAATGTTTATTAGGCACCTTTGTCCGTGAGGTTCATTAAGTTCTGAGTATATTTATGAATCACTTCCTGAATTTTCGCATTTCCACCGCCAACACCAAACACAATTTTATCTGCATTTTCCTAGTGATCGGGTTCACTTACTAGTAAGAAACAGCCTGGACATAATTCCCATTAAATGCGTGAAAAACCAGCGTGATGTACTTTAAACCGTTGGTCGCTGGGAGATCTGATATTCGTCTGGTATTTCGACATCCGTCGCCAATTCTTCATCAGAGACATAAACAGAAAGTAAAAGCAGAAATGGTGGGGGAATCCGACGGCTTCGGCCATCCAAGTAATGGCGAAAGTAGCTTATGTAGTCCCACTCATATACTCGTAGTCCCAGGGTTTTTGTGTGGGGAATTAGGATACGCAGTGAAATATACTTTAATAAATGTTAAATGCATTTTTATTTTACTGTATTTAGAAGTGTTGTTGCTTTATATCTGTGTATATTATTGTTTAACTTATTGCGGAAAAACTCGACTATCAAATTGCAGGTTTCTTGAAATTCCCGAAAAATAGAAATGATGGTTAGGAGGCCGTCTACTCCAACTTATTTGGGGCCCAACTTACCATTCTGGAGTTAGATTAGTATAGTCCACTGCGCGAAGCACCGCGCACATCTTATTATTCAATACGGAACAACCTACTTCCAGCGGCCGCGGGAAACAACTTCGACTACATTTTTTCACTTTACAC